AGAATTGGAGGTCACTGCGGGTCGTGCAGCTAGCACAAGGAGGCAAACTTTTGCCTCACGATGTGGGAAATCCACGAGGTCCACTTCCTCAATCCGGATTTTTTTAAAAAAAATGTGGAATTGACCTCGCGACGCACAACGAAGTCCTAGATCCATTCACGTCGTTTTTAAGACAATTTGACTTCACAAAGAGGCTCAATTAAGTGAGTGGTCTTTTGGGTATTTTAAAGGGTGACTATATAATGTTTTTTGGTCAGTTTTAAGTCAATTTTAACAGACAAATCAAATCCCAAAGTTGAAATAAAAAATCACTCTGATCTCTCTCAAATTCTCTTTTCCTACAATCCTCCATTGAAGACCATTAGAGCTCCAAGAAGAAGGTCAAGTATTCAAGTTTCCAACTCTATTTCGTGGATTTATCATCTCCAAGGTACGATTTCTTTAACTCTTGGGATCCCTTTTCCCAGTAGATCCCTCCAAAAGATGATTTCTAAATCCCTCAAAACAAGGATTTTTCTTGTCACATGGGTCTTGTTTGAAAAACGAAATTATGAATGAATTGTGATAAATAAATGTTGTTTAGGTATTTATTGATGGTTTTTTAAGTATGTATTGATGGTTAATTGATGATTTCCTAGAAGATTCCCCTAGACCCATGTTTTTCCCCAATTTCATAAAGTTGAATTATTAGGATGAATTATGAAGATGATGAACCAGTAGATTGACAAAGTTATTGTTAATTATGTAAATACTTCATGAATTTTCCTTGTTTATGAAATTGGTTATGTATTCTTGGTAATGAAATTATGAAGGTTCTTGAAGAGGGCAAGAAGGTATGTTGATTGGTTCTCCTTGGATTCAATTGTGAGTTATGAGTTACTCAGATAGTAATGCTTCTATGTCTAATGTGTGGTTGTGATATTGATGCTAGGTATTCCTCATCTTTAACCCTAAGACATTGAATTATGCATGTATGTATGTTATTGTACATGTATTAAATGATTTAAAGTAGTTTCTTATGTTTATAATAAAGTGTAAAATGAAAGGTTTACTCACTTGTGAAATGGTGTCTAAAGTGAAAGAATTGTTCTCACTTATGATGACTTATGGGCTAATATGATAAGATGTTTACATAGGAGTCTAGAAGAGACTAATGTGAACTTGTATGATAAAATAAGATGATTACTAAATGGAATAATTGCTTAGCACGAAAGGGCATGTGAATGAGATGGAGGTCCCACGTTTAGTTAGTCTTGCCTCCCACATGGGTTTCCTCATGTTAGTAAGTCCGGATTCCCAAAATATGTGTTGTCTCATGAGATGGAAACCTCCATGTCTAGCAAGTCATGGTTTCTAGTAACGAACTCCTTGACCCTTAACTATGTACCCACATAGGACTTTCGCTTAGTTGATCTACCTAGATAGCTATGTACGAATGGTTACACCTTAGGCAAGTGTTAACCCTTTCTTTTCAGTGTGGGTAGACACCGGATTCCATGTATATCACATGGTATCATGTCGGTTATTGCACTTCTTTTCCTAAATTAAAAGTAAATGAACAAGTTATGTATGTGACTTCTTATTAGGGTTGTCTTAAAGGTTACTACATGGTGTGGGGGAGGGCATGAAACTTCTCTTACAATTTGCACATGTGGGATCCTAAGAGATGGTCCTAGTGGTGTTCTCTTATGATTTTGATTATGATTTCGGTTATGTTGATAAGATATGAGTATATATTGATCTATGAAGCATGTTATGAAAATGTGTTGTAAGTATGAAGTGGATTGTTTAAGGTGATACTTAGCTTTGGATAGGTTTATGGGGATTTATTCTTGGCATTGCACAAGTGTTTCTTGAGTTGCCTATATGTTGGGTTGACTTACGATGTTCCATATATGTGTATATTGAGTTATTGGATGTTATTCATGGTTTTGATTAAATTGTGTTTTTTCTCATGCATTAATGATTTTTATGCATAGAGACCATACTTAGTACATGTATTTTATACTAACCCATATTTCTTCCCTTTTTTTCAAACGTTGTAGGTTCGGGCCATTGAGGTATTTTGAGGCTAAAGAAAGAAGGCTTGGACTAGACTCTCCAAGTTTTGGTAGGTTCTCTAGTTCAAGGACACTATTACATAGTCTACCTTAGTCGTACTTGTATTGTCTAAAGACATTCTTTTCTCTTATATTTTTGAAGATATTGAAATAAGCCCTATGTGGCAACTATTAATTTGTATAAGGGCTACACCCGGATGTTTTACTTCATTCAGATTGTTTAATGTGAGACAAAGATTTAGACTAAATTCCTATGTATTGTTATGTTGTCTAAGTGAGAAGCCTAAGTGAGCTTCTTATGTGACAGGTCTATCTAAACCTCACAAAATATATATAAAAGTTTTAAGTTTACCTGCAATTTTGACCTATGATGTGCTGTGATGTATGCTAAGGGCTTGTCTTAGTCCTCTTCGAGGATGATGACGCCGGTAACGACTAAGGTGTACTTTGGGTTGTTACAAACTTGCTATCACAGCATTAGGGTAAAGTAAATCTTAGGATTGATATCTCACTAAACCACATCTATGTAGGGTCTTATTCATAATTGTGAAGTGCGCCACACTTATGAATGAGAGACTATGTGATGCTTAGGAATTTTTACTCTCTTGTTATTCGTTAATCGTGCCTAAGAGTCCTAACTCTATCTAGTCCTCTCTTCTAATCCCTTTATTGTGCTTATAGGCAATGAATACAAGGAGTAAAAATGTTCAAAGGGCCGCAGAGGAGAATTTAAATGAGGCGGTTCCCCCTCAAGCTCCTCAAAACCCTCAAGTTCCTATTGAAGAAGGGGCTATGTCTAACGTTGATATTGGGTCGACCATTCATAGTTTGACTCAAGTGTCAGCTACCTACACTACAATAAATATGATATATAGCTACGAAATGATTAGCTACGACATTTTCTTTGTCACTAATTATTCACTTATTGTGACAAAAAAATTACTTTTTGTGCTTAAATATACGAGACATGTACTTTTAATGACGAAACATACAAAACCATAGCAAAGTTTTGCCCAATAAATTTTTCCACCAAAAACTGAATTGGCGACATTTGTGAGTACTATTAGTCACAAATTTAAAGTTATTATTAACATATTATTTCGTCACTGGTGATGCATTTAATTTGTGAAAACTATGTTTTTGTCTTGAAAGTAATTACTTTTTCTGGACAAATTTTTTTTGTCTCATAAAATATGTTTTACAATAACGAAAAATTAGATTTTGTGGTCAAATATTATAAGTTTTAGTTATAAAAATTTAGATTTAATTGACATTTTTATTTTGCTCTCCAATGATATAACTAATTAGTGACAATTATTTTATTCTCTCTGACGAACCTCTGATTTAGTGACAACAAAAAGTTATCACAACATATGTAAAGTTTTAAGTAGTGACGATTTAAAATTTGTAGCTGAATAACTCAACTATGTGCTATAAAAAATTCATAGATAAATACAACTTTTTTTTATTTAGCTACGATTATTCATAATTAAGAAAAAAACATAAATGGTTCCTAAACTATTGGAAGGTACAAGAGTTCAACAACTATATACCATATTTAGTCCTTTAACTATTCAAAATGTTACGAACTCTGGTCCCTCAACTAAATACTTACCGTTTTAGTTTCATAACTATATATTTGTCGAGTTTATTCCTTTAAGTATTCAAAGAATATCATATTTGATCTAAATCTATTTTTTATATACAACTTAGGCGTATATGAACTAAATACAAATCTCCATCAAATTAAATCTTGAACAAATTTTTTCAATTATTTCATAGTTGTTAATTGAATATGTTGTGTTTCTTTCTTTACTGGTTAACGATTCATAATCAATTTGAGTTTTTTTTTAAAAAAATGTTTTTCATACAAAAAAAAAAGAAATTTGATCTAGTTACTCAAATTTCTCAAGCTAAAATAAAATGAACAAAATAATAAAATCGGTCTGTTTCAAAAAAAAAAGTTACAAGTTATTTAATATTTTTTTCTCTTTCTTTTTAGTTTAAATTTGTTGTATTATATAATTAATCTAGTAGACTCACTTCTTGAGTACTCTTGACATTCAATTTGACCGACCTATAATCCATTTCTAGATTGCTATTCGAAATATGCATCTTAAAATCTATTTCTTTTATTATATGTTTTAAATTATACTTGAATGTTATCTTATTATTGTATTTTACTATTTAGAAATTATTATAATAGATCATTCTATTTCTAAATAATTTTACACTTTTAGTACATATATATATAATATGTGTAGTATATTTATTTATTAGATAGCAATTTATTTTATTTTCCTCCAAATCATGTAAATCATAGCCTATTCAATCAAATTAATTGAATTCATATACGTTTATTAAAATTTAGGCTTTTGAATTAAATTTTATCTCAATTAGAGCCTTTTATATCCCATTTGCCTTTCGATTCTAACTAGGGGTATGTATCGGTCGGTCCAGTCTAATGTATTATTGGTTCAGTTTATCTGTTTTTTATTTTTTAAATACATTAAATCAATAAGAAATTTTATCGGTTTTCATTTTTTTGATAATGGTCCTTAACAGTTTTGTTTTCGTTTTAACCAATAAGAAAAATATTTATAAAATAAATATATGACTTCTCTAATAAATTTGTCGCCATAACACAATAATATAACTTCACAAATGCTCATAAAAATAGAAACGATAATAAAAAATATGAAACATTCGATTTGGTACATCATTCAGTTGAGTTTTTCACACATTTAATTATTAATTATAACCCATTAGACATCCAATTTAAAACTTCAATCTCCTTTGATCATAACCATCATTTTCATTAATATTTATCAACCAATCCTAACCAATCAAGTCATCTAATTCAACGGCTGAGATTGAAACCCCTTTGTTATACCTATTTTATCACACCAACAGACCCCTTTTTCACGTACCCTCCCTGTTCCAAGGAGATCCACCGTACCAGCGGCTCCTCCATTGCTCTAACTGGCGGAACCACCCCTCTCTCCTTCTCTTCCTCCTCTCTTCTTATCCTTCTTCACTGATGAGATCCTTATCCTCTCCCACTTCTGGCGAAAATCGATCGAACAACCGCCACTCATCTTCTCTTTAATACTCTGTCAGGCATCAGTACAGTCGTGACAACCAAGAGACGAGCGTTGCTGTTTCTATTGGCGTGTTCACGACCGAGCCGTCTTGAGCCTCCTCCAGCGAGCTTCGACGAAGAAAGCGAGTCTAGCAATCTTCGGAGGCGTTCAAACCTACGTCTATCAAAAATGGATTTGTAAAGATTCGTCTGGTATTAAGTTTAATTAATCTGTTATACTTTTTTGTTTACTTTAACTAGTTCTAAAATCTGAAAAACGCATGTTGTTGCTTTTTTATTGTATTATATATGATTTGGTTGTGTTCCAGAATTTTAGCTTGACTATTGATATTTCATCCACACTTTGACATTGTCGAAATATCCATCAGACATGAAATCTGCAGATGGTTTCTGTTAGAGATTTCAATTGTTCTTTTTAGTCTATAATGTTTTTTTATGTCTCATTCGTGATGTTTTTTCCCTGTAAATATGAGTTTTACTATTTAATTCGTATCCAGTTGTTTCGTCGGATTACTATATCGGATTACTATATTATTCTTCCTCATGGAATTCTTATAGGAGATATTGTTGCATACAAATCAGATTTTCCAAAGCATAAGAATTAGAATTTTAATTCCAAAGGTCACACTACAATATTTTTTTTGAAATTCAAAATACATACTAGACGTGAGTCTTTGGAACATTAGACATTAGATGCATCTTCCTATTTCCCCCCCCCCCCCTCTCTTTATTGAAAATTTTGTAGCTTTTTCTTTTTTTATATTCATATCTTCTCTTGTCTTATGATTCTTTATTTTTCAAATATTCCGTGAGATGTTAGACTTGGATATATTTTTTCAATTTATTCTCAACCAAACAACTCCTAAGATTCCATAATTTTTCACTTGTTATTTTCAGTCCAGAATTTAACATTTCAGATTTTAGTTTATAAGTAGGAATTACTAATCAATACTGTGTCATTTTTTTCATTTAAGATAGTATTTTGAATTGATTTTTCTTTTTAACGATGCAGATATAACTAGAATCAATATTGAAGTTCATGAAAAGTTAAAGAAAAATGTTGTGAAATGAAGTCCTCAAAAATGATATTAGAGATTCCGTTTGTAAAGGGAGGTGTGTCAAGGAAATTTCATCAACAAATCTAAAGTTGGGAATAACAACTCAATTTTTTTTGCTCAAAACAAGTGAAGCTCACGAGATAGGAGAAAGACGTAATGATTAGATTACATTGTATCTTTCAAGATAAGCATATCATTGTTATAAGACATTATTTTGTCATAAATTGTCTACATTTGTGACAAAACATTTGTCTTCAAATTATTTTTTGATCAATTATATAATTTATTTTTAATTATGTATTAAATTTGCATTCTATCACAATTGTATTTTTCACTAGTTACAATAATTTTTACTGACAATTTTGTGGTGTCAGTAAAACTAATATTTTTGGTTATGAAATGATTGATTTTAACTACAAAATTCTAAGTTATTTTTGTAAACGCAAAATTGTCACTAATTATTACATTTGGAGACAACAAATTTTCATACATAAACATAGTATTTAGTTACGTTACTATTTTTATTTGACTACTAATTAGCATTAGAGACAAATGATGCCATCACTAATTAAAGTAAAAAGTTAGTTACAACCTCATTTTGTTGGTATAGATAATATTTGTGACAAAATATTCAATCAACTACAAAGTTTTGATTTTTTTATACGAAAGAGTTTGTCATAAATACTATGCAATTGGAGACAATTGTAGTTAATGCAACATTAATTGGAGACGAAACACTAAAGTGTCACTGTATATCTTTAGTGACCTATGATTTAGAGACGAACAAGCGACGTTTTTTTTTCATCATGAAATATGTTTTGTGATAAAAAATGAGTTTTAAGTGACAAAATAATATGTCACTGATAACCAAGTTTGTAGTAGTGCCAAGTTGCTAGGGATGCTAGGGTGCAAGTGAATCCCAATGCTAACACTATCGCTTCAAGGATTAGGGATTTCACAAGGATGAATCCCCCTACTTTCTTTGGTCCTAAGGTGCAGGAGGACCCACAAGGGTTCATTGATGAGGTGTTCAAAGTTCTTGATGCTATGTGTGTGTCTCCTCAAGAAAAGGCGGAACTAGCCGCCTACCAACTCAAAAATGTGGCTCAAGTTTGGTATGAGCAATGGAAGGATGAGAGGCCGGTTAGAGAAGGTCGAATTACTTTCGGGAGCTTTCAAGGCGACTTTCCTTGATAGGTTTTTTCCCTTGGAATTAAGGGAGAGGAAAATGCAAGAATTCATCAACCTTCGTCAAGGGAGTATGAGCGCGAAGAAGTATAGCCTCAAGTTCACTCAACTATCCAAGTATGCTCTACTATGGTTGCGGATTCTAGAGCTAAGATGAACAAATTTGTTATGGGGATATCCGACCTTGTGGTTAATGAGTGTAGGTCGGCTATGTTGATTCCTAGCATGGACATCTCTCGTCTTATGGTTCATGCCAAACAAATTGAGGAGCAAAAGCTTAAACAAGTTGGTAGGGAGTTGAAGAATGTAAGAACGGAAGATGGGAATTCTTCTAAGACTAAATTTGAGGTGCAAGACAAACCAACGATCAAAAGGAGGTTTTCCAACCAAAGACCTTCTAATGCTCCAAGGTCAACAAAAAAAAGGTGTCTACTCCCAAGCCCCAGAAAGGTGGAAGATCATATGTTGAGAAACCTCTTTGTGCAAAATTTGATAAATAGAAATGAGTGTAAGTGCCTCGTTGGCACTGGTAATTACTATGGTTGTGGAAAGAGTGGTTACATGAAGAGAGATTGCCCTAAGATGAAGACACAAGGAAGGGGCTCAAGCACAAGCTAGTGCCCCAAATTCGGATGCTCCTAAGGAGAATTACTTTTATGCTCTCCAATGCTGAGGTGATCAAGAGAGCTCACCGGACGTGGTTACCGGTATGTTACAATTAATTTCCTTTGATGTATATGCTTTGTTGGATCCGGGAGCTACATTGTCATTTGTGACCCCTCTTTTAGCCATGAAATTTGATAAACTACCCGACATATTCAGTTTCTACCTCAGTGGGTGATTTCTTGGCTAAAAAGTCTATAAAGGTTGGCCTATTCCTTGCCAAATAGACTTACATTAATTGACTTAATAGAACTTGATATGCTAGATTTTTGATGTCATATTGGGAATGGATTGGTTTCATGCTTGCTTTGCCTATACTGATTGTAGGACAAGGGTAGTCAAATTTCAATTTCCAAATGAACCCATTTTTGAGTGGAGAGGAGGAAACTCAAATCTTAGGGGTAAGATCATTTTGTGTCTAAAAGCTTGCAAGTTGATTGCAAAGGAATGTCTCTATCACATAGTTATAGTTAGGGATCTTGCATCAGAGGTCCCTCTCTTGGAGTCTGTACCCGTAGTGAAGGAATTTCAAGATGTCTTTCCCAGTGACCTACCCAGAATTCCTAGCGAATGGGAAATTGACTTTGGCATAGACTTATTGCCGGATACACAACCTATTTCAATTCCTCCTAATCGGATGGCCCCGGCCGAGTTGAAATAAGTAAAGGCTCAACTCAAGGATTTGCTAGATAAGGGTTTTATTCATCCAAGCATATATCCATGGGGTGCCGCGGTATTGTTTGTATCCCTCCCTAGGATTGATGACCTATTTTACCAACTCTAAGGAGCGATTTACTTTTCAAAGATTAACTTGAGATCGGGTTATCACCAACTTAGAGTGAAGGAGGTTGATATTCCAAAAACGGCATTTCGAACGAGATATGGTCACTTTTAATTCCTAGTTATGTCATGAGTGAGGAAGGTTGATATTCCGAAAACAGCATTTCGAACGAGATATCGTCAATTTGAATTCCTAGTTATGTCATTTTGTCTAACCAATGTCCCGACGACTTTCATGGACCTTATGAATCGAGTTTTTAGAAAATGTCTTTATTTGTTTGTGATTGTCTTCGCTGATGACATTTTGATATACTTTAGAAGTGAGAATGACCATATGAGCCACATGAGGATAGTTTTGCAAATTCTCAAGGATAACCAAATTTTTGGTAAGTTTGATAGGGATCTCAACATAATTTCGTTCCACATCACTCTCTTCAAGAGATGGAAGAGAAGAGGTGTACGGTAAAGTGTTTTTATACTTGCTCAATTACATGGAGAAAAGCTAAAGAGAAGAAAACTTTTTACCTTATATTTCATGAAAAATGCGATACTACTTTTCATGAAAAAAACTGTTTAAATTCTTTAAATAGTGGGGACATAAAAATTATTTGTGAATTTGTGATTTGTAATATTTGAGAAATGGTCTAAAAGAGTATTACAAGTGCATATATTTATTATGGAATAAATCACATATTGTTGTTTGACTATAATGAGATGATTTTTAGCTCTAACATGAGTGTTATTATAAATAAATTATGAAAAACATTTTGATTAGACATTTAACATGAAATATTTTGGGAGAGAAAAAATTCATTCTTAGAATGAAATATATAATAAACATGTGATGAAATTTTTTTTGTCAAGTCACATAATATTGAAATTTTGTGAAATACAATTTTATTGGTTGCATGAGTCTTGCAACTTCTTTTGATTCATTTGTGTGAAAAAGTTGTGACAAATAAAAAATGAGACTTCGCTAGCCTAATAAAAAAATGAGCTATGTGACTAACAACCTGGCTTCATATTGTGTCTGCAGAAAAAGTATTTAGCAGGTACAAGCAAACAAGATGAAAAATTGATGCTATTTGTTAGAAGTGAGAAAAGCAAATTATATTTTCATACAAACAAGTAGATATTTAACTTATTTTCTCATGTTTGGTTGGTGAGTAAAAAAATTTTCCGAAAAAATATTGTAGTGTTTGGTTTTTGAATGAGAAAAGTCTTTGTTAAATATTTTTTATTCTTTATTAGAGTGAGAAATAATTTTTGAAGTTGAAATTCTTTTTTTAAAACAAACTTTAAATTTTCTCGTGGTAGGGTAGGGGTGGGGTTCTAGGGTAGGGGTCAAAAAAATAAAATTTGAATTTGAATTTTTTTTTTAAAAAAACAATTTAAATTTTTTGGGGTGGAGGGAAGGGGGACTGGTAGGGGGTGGGGGTGGGGGTCGAGGGTAGGGGTGAAAAATGATTCTTTGATGAAAATAATTTTAAAAAATTTTGTTTTGGGAGGGGGGGGGGGGGGGGGGCTCAAGGATATGAGTGAAAAAATAAAAATTTTAAGTTGAAATTATTTTTTAAAAAATAAATTTAAATTTTTTTAGGTGTAGGGAGGGCTGGTAAGGGGTGGGGGTTGGGGGTTGGGGGTTTGTAGGGGGTGGAATGGGGGCTGGTAGGGTTGGGGTGGGTAGGGGAGGTTTGAAGAGAGTTTAGGAAAATGTTTTCCCTATGTTTTGAAGGGAATTTCTTTTCTTAAATTTGAGGAAAATGAGTTGATTTGGGAAAAACATTTTCCAAAACATTTGACCCTACAAAACATGACAAAATTGGAAAACATTTATAATACCAAACACACCCTTAATGTTGGTTAAAGAACCAATGATTTATTATTTCGTGAATAATTCATTCATTAAAGGTTCTTGAGTTAAGTGATAATGACAAATGATCAAATTCATGTCAGAATATTTGCTTCTATTTCTAAGAATTTATTTATTTTCATTATTTTTAATGTATGGATATACGTAAAAAATTTATTTGCAAGGTCAATGCAATTATTTTGTATTACCGCGCGAAGCGCGGGTGAATTACCTAGTATTGTTGGTAAAGTACAAGCTCGTTATTATAAAACGATAAATTTAGATTCATGAGGAAAAAATATTGGGTTCTAAAGGTGTGAACATGAAATGAAGGATTGGAACTCTCTTAATGAGTTGTGACTTTGCCGAAAGGCTATGACCTTTATGAAGAGTATTGTCTTTTCTAGAGGGTTGTGGCTATTTGAAAGGTTGAGCCTTTTCCGAAGGGTTGTAATCGTTCTGAAAGGTTGTATTATTTCCAAAGAGTTGCGATCTTTATCCTTTTGTTGGCTATAAATAGAAAGGTTTACTCTCATTTTTCTGCATCGAATTCATTTCTTCTCTTGCATTCATTACATACGAAACAAAATGAATCGATCGTTTCTGTGTGTACTTTGTTGTTGTTATTTTGAGTTAGTTGAAATAATCGAAGTTTGAGGTACTTCTACTTTTTTAATGGTTAATCTGTTTCATCTTGGGAGGAATTAATATGCAACCTCAAGTACTTTAGGGGATTCAATTTTTTAAGGACACAAAGTGGTTTTGTGGACTTGGATAGTTATTTGTGTTTTTCTTTTCATGTTTTTTCTGATTTGCTAATCTAAATATAGGATAACAAGCTTAAGAAATTTAATATTGATGGTACTATCTTTGGTAAGAAAATTACTTCTATTTTCTATGTTTTTTTTGTTGGAAAAAAGAAGATAAAGAATATTGTTTTTATCATATGATAAAAGAGATTTGAGATGAATTAGTACTATTTTAATATGTTCGAGTATATTTTCTATAGTAAGTTTTTTTGGTTGGATAACATTAATCTTAGTTTCTTCTCAAGTGCATTCAAACATTGTACCCCTTCAGTTTTCTTTTCAATGAGAGTTTTTTTTTTTGCATAAAGTCTAAGTTGAGCACTTTAATGAACATGTGTCTTAGCCTAACAATATTTGAACATGAGTTTAGTTTCTCATTGAAATTTAGTGTCTTTTAAGTAAAATTGGAATATGATCAAAACTGGGAAAGAAAAAAACAATTTACAATAAAAGTAACTTGCATGGAATCATTGCTAATAAATAGAATATAATTTAATGAGAGGAAAAATCAAGTTTGATTATTATTTTTTCTATCCGTTATAAGTTATGAGATTTATTTCATAAATGTTAGGATACATTGTGATTATGTGATTATCTCAGGACATATCTTAATTATTATTCATGTGTATTCTTTTTAGAGGAGAGAGAATAACTTTTTGTAGTTTTCTCCTCCATGTGAAATTATATTCTGTCTTACATTTGAAGACTAAAATCTCCTAATTTTTTTACTCCGTTGGTATGAAGAACATAAGAACTTCTTGAAAAATTAAAATTCTGCATTGGTTCGAAGAATATAGAAACTTCACCAATTTATTAAATACCCTATTGGAATAAATATTCTGACTTGAAGAGTACAAAATCTTCTTCAGGAATATCAAGGCTAAAGGATTTGAAAAAAGATAAAATCTTCTTCCTTAGCTACAATATTGTTGCATTTGAGGTTTCTCAAGATTAAAATCTATTATGTTTATTACTCTGTATGAATGTGAAACTGATTAGAAGAATATTAAAACTTCATGAGAATTCGAGATTCATTTGATTAAAGATTAGAAGAATATAAAAAAATCATCGTTAAACTAGAAACAAATTATATAAAGATTGAATCTTTATTATTAGTAGATCTGTCTAATTGTGACAGAAAGAGAAATAGCACTAGTGACATAAGATTAGTGATTTTTGTGCCTGTAATGGGTGTCGCTATGGATAAAATCTCCAAAAGAAGGCTTTGTATTGTCAATGTGTATTTCATATACAATTTGAAAGTATGAATTTTTTTTGTGTAAAATAATTTCAAATACTTGAAAGATATTTTTGAGAATATATTTAAAATGTGGTGGTTCTTTACTTCTGATAGAGACAAAAATAGACTTATTATCTAATTAAAATTTGAAAGAACAAGGTATGAAATATAATCACATTCTTGTATTATATTACACTTATAAAATTCTTGAAGTATATTTGATATTGTGATCGTTGAGTCTCTCTTTGCTAGTATATATGATATGAGTAATATA